AACAACAACAACAAACTCTAATCACCATCAACTGGAGAAACTTAAAGGAAGTAGACTCCTTAACCTATCTAGGAAGCACTGTTTCAACTACAGGCGGCGGTGGCACAGACAAGGATGTCAAAGTCAGAATCGGAAAAGCAAGACAGGTGTTCATTAGCCCGAAACCAATGTGGAGATCTTCTGCACTCAGCATTTAGAACAACATCTGGATCTTCAACACCAACACGTCAGTCAAGTCAGTGCTTCTGTATAGTTGAGAGACTTGGCGAGTTACGAAAGGCATTTCCAATAAACTACAGACATTCATCAACAACTGCCGCCTACGCTGGCTCGTTACTGAAGCTCAGATGAACGAACAGAAAGAATAAGCAACAAGCAACTCTGGGAACGAACCTACCAGGAACCTATCACCCAACAAATATGTAGAAGAGGGAAGTGGAGATGGATTGGGTATACACTGAGAAGGCTGACTGGGGATATCACGCGTCAGGCCAATTTCTCGAGTGAAACCCAGATGGGAAATGACGAGTTGGGTGTTGCAGGTGAGGGTGACATGGAGGAGATTGTGCGAGGAGGAAATGAGAGCTTGTGGGCTGTCGTGGAGCCAGGTTCAAAAGATTTCAGAGAACGGAGTCCACTGGAGACGTGCTACTGAAGCCCTATGTTCCATTAAGAACCCAAGGGACTAATAAAAATAATAAAATAATAATGAAGCTCTTCTCAACATCGAAATATAGACTTAAAACATTCGAAGTATTAGTTATCTCAAAAAAGCTTTCAGAGGACTCCATTTTCTTCTCCATTGACTTATGTAACATTTTCCCTGCTTTATCCTCCTTTATCCTTCAGTAAAGTAGACAGATAAAATAGTATTTTTTTATCTAAAACTCTAACTTTCAAGCTGAATGATTAACCGACTTCAAGTAGGCTTTTAGTGAAATATTTCAAGTTGTTAATAATCGTAGACGGACATCAGTTGGAGGAACAATGGAAACCTATGAGCATTGGACAGCTGTTGCCTCCTAGTGTTGGACTTCTCAGAAGTGCGCACCCATGACCCCACCCCGCCAGGGGATCGAACCCGCGACCTTCAGGTTCCGTTGTCAGCACGTTACCATTGAGCTAACCACTGGGTAAGAATCCAATGGTCCATATTTCCAACTTTTGTCAGCTCACGATATAGTGCAACCGCCACCCAATGTCATCGTTGAGTAACTGTCCTCAGGACCATCAGGCTTTGCCCCCTCCCGTTACGACTTCTCATTGGAACTTCGGAAATGCCTTTCGAAGCTAGTCACCAACAAGCACCAATTCAATTGAGTTTTGAGGGAGTTATGGGGATTTGGAAATGACCAACTCACTGAGAAGTCATTTCTTCCTTCAAGTAACATATTAAACATCATCATCATCATCATTATCAACATAGGACCAGGCATTACTGCGTAACGGTCCAACTTGCCACACCTCATATCAGCACATCAAGTAAAAAGGTAGTGAGGTGAAGGATGAAGATAAGTGAATGCAGTCAAAAGAAATATATAGTACGAAAAGAAAAGAAAGAGGAGTGACAAAATGGTGGGATTCGGTATAGCGTTGTTAAGATGAGGATAATGTATGTATACATCTGCCCCACTGACTTCGGTTCTGAGCCATATCACCTAGGGTCTCCAACCACTGGTTTCTCTTGTCCCGTGGACCCCAACCACCTAGTCTGCATTATCCTACATGGCTTAAACCAACAGTCACAGACTTCATACATTGGTGCCATGTTTTAGTCTGGCCACCGCGGGCCTTTTTCCAGCCTGGACCCACCTCAGCCAACATTGTGTGACGAGGCAATCGGTGACTAGGCATACGTAGTACGTGTCCCAACCATCTCAGTCGATGAAGGTTCACAACCTCGTCGACTGACTTACCTCTTCTCCCCAAAACTCTACACCTAACTTCTGCATTACTCACATGGTGACACCACGGAATACGTCCTATACTACGAAGGCAACGGTGGTCAAACACCTGAAGCCTTTTTGTATCCTCCACTTTCAATGGCCATGTTTCACAGCCATACAGTAGAACAGAGCGGACTGCTGTGCAGTACACGCGACCCTTAATAGACAAACGAATATCACGGCGGCGCCATAGGTGGCGCAAATTGGCAAAAGCCAATCGAGCCTTTTGTATCCGTGCAGAAATCTCATCGGCAACTAACCCACCAGGACTGATCCTACTTCCCAGGTAAGTGAAGTGGTCAACACACTCAACCACTTCACTCTCTATTGTTAACCGCGGTACCGCTGAAGACCAGTCCTGGAGCAAAAATTTGCATTTGGGTGGTGAAAATCGCATCCCAAACATTCTCAAATTCCCACTCAAAGTGTTCAGAAGACTCTGCATCTTGTCAGCGTCTTCACCTAACAGGACTATGTCATCTGCATATTCTAGATCTAAGGAAAATTCACCTGTGATCTGGTCAACGTCTTTGTAATTAGGTGACGAGAGGGAAACCTCCATAAGAATATCTATGATAAAATTAAATAAGAATGGGGATAGTGGGCATCCTTGACGGACACCACTTGATGAGTATAGCTCCCTGGACAACTCACCATAGGCTCTAACATGCCCACAAGTGTTCGAGTAGAGAGCTTTCAATAAGGTGATGTACTTACTAGGCACGCCTTTCAGTGACAGACACTGCCATAAGACTTCTCGATCAACGGAGTCAAATGCCGCCTTCAGGTCGAGAAATACAGCTATTGTCGGGCGTCTGTAAGCATGCCTATGTTCCAGGACCTGGCGCAGTGTGAATATTTGGTCGATACATCCACGGCCAGGTCTAAAGCCTGCCTGGTTTTCTCGGGCTTGCTGTTCCCGAGCTCCACTCAGGCGTCGGAGAATTATAGAACTTAGGATCTTAGACACTATGTTTGTCAGGCTGATTCCTCTGTGGTTATCACAAGAGGACTTCTCGCCTTTCTTGAAGACTGGGATGATGAGTGACTTAGACCAGTCGGAGGGGATCGTATTTGATTCCCATATACTGGCTAACACTTCCGTTAACCTGACTAAGAGAACTCTACCACCATTCTTGTACACCTCAGCAGGTAGTCCGTCTGGTCCATATTAAACAAGTGCCATGTGAAGTTCAAATCAGTTTTGAAACTGCCTAGAATTCATACCTTAGGTACTATGGTAGATTGTAATTTCATTCTAGTCTGTTTATTAGAAATGCTGTACAGTGAAATAGTATCATTTACTGGATTACATTTCGGACACAATTTGTCTATAGTCACATCAGGTGACTAACTCCACTAATTTGAGACAGAGTTTGTATAATCCTAGTTTTCTCTCCTTCTTTGTGATAAAGGTACTGAATTCTGCATATATCTGGGACAGATACAGAAATCATTCCTATTCCTGCATGTATTTGGTGTTGATTCGATAAACAAAGATTCAGTCGGTTATCAATCTATCCCTTCACCTAACCAAGTTAGTTATGAATATTGTTGCTCTGTCTCTTCACATCTCCAATCATCACAGATATATTTTGTGGATAGTTAAGAACGAATATCGCTTCATACGTTAAGTCCTACTCCAAAGACATGGTATCGATAGGTAGATGATGCACTCACTGTATCGAAACCAGAATACAGTAATACATTCTTGATACATGTAAATTCAGTAGTGAATGCAAGCCAATTATATTCATGACATAGGGAGCGATGAAGGTGAGCTAGCAATGTTAGATTGCAAGATTAAACGAAAGTAAGGTGGACGTTTAAAGAATCGTGTCTATAGGAAACCTTCTCATTTGAATCGCTACTTAGACTTGAAATCATTTCACCCCACCTCAGTTAAAGTAGGCTTATTTAAATGTCTAAGTAATAAGGCAAAAAAACTTACCAGTATTACAGAAGATCTAAGATAATAAATCAGATACATTAAAGACACCCTACTCACTAATAAATGCCCATCCGAATTCATTGATAAGTTCCTTAGGAATCGTAAGAAAAATACGACTAATATTGGTAACAATAGCGTTGATAATAATAGTGGCATTACCGTGCAGGAAGAGAATTTAAAACCTCTAGAGTATTACCCACAATGCAATGAAGGCACCTTAAAGACATTACGTACGATTCTCAATAAGGCTGGCTGAGATTAGAGTGATATCTAAACGTAAAAACTGACTTCGAAATAAGCTTTGTAGGTTAAAAGATCCTACTGACCCGATTAGGTAGAATAATCTAGTTTACCAGATCTCTAGTAACGATTGTGAGGTCAAAGTAGTCGACCAATCATGGTTAATTAGGCTATCCAGGTACGAAAGCCTAGCTAGATCAAAATTGGTAGGTCCTAGTAAGATAAGAAATCTAGAAAAAACGTTCCGTCATAGACATCCATCCCACTAGACAAAACCAAACAATAGGATGGAACACGGTGAAAATCCTTAAAACTAAACTAGCAAGATATGTAGGGTAAGATTGATAACTGAATCTTTGTTCATCGAATCAACATTGAACATATCCAACAGGAGTAAAAATCCTGCTAACCATATCACAAAGAAGCCAAGTAAATTAGGATTATATAAAGGATATTTCAAAGTTTTGTAGTTATCTTGATTTGATTATGGATAATAAATTCTGTGTCCGAAACACAATCCAGTAAACAATACTGCTCGTTCACTATGTGATACATTTAATAAATCAACCATAATGGAATTACATTTGATCACAGTGCTCAAGTTTAACTCTTATACTCTTAGAGAATTGATTTCCAACTGATGAGTTACGACTCTGAATCCCGCTCTAACTACCGAGGTTTCAAAAGCCAAGTAATTTGATTAGCTTTCACATAACAGATGCTGCTCAATACCTTGTGTGTAAACATATATGAAATAGCTTTTCTAAACCACTGAAAACTAAGTACAACTAAGTTTTTTTTGAACTTTTAATAAAGAGATGATGCGACCAATGAAGAGATATATAGAAATAAATAAAACTTACACCGCATGCTTTGCATTCAAAGTTATCAGCCCACTTAAAAAATTCACCCTTGAACCATAGCATTAGTTCTTGAAGAAAGTCTCTAGGCTCCACCTTATCTACAGAACAACCAGTGTTCTGAGAAGCGGATACAAGAAGTTGTTCGGTGGGAATCAGTTCACGTGCTCGAGTCTAGTGTACAAAAATAGAGCGAGAAAAGAATGTCAATAACTGTAGTTCAACTTGAAAATATCATGAGAAACTTCATAGTTAGAAAGAAATTTTATTTGCATAGATACACTAGTAATTGGCACAAAAGTGCTTCAGCTTATTTTTATTGTAAAGCTCCAGAGCATAATTCGTGGGCACAAAAGGTGTTCAACACACACTAAATTATTTTAATCTGAGTAACTGGCCTTCATTAGTGCACCGGATAACAATAGAGAGTGAAGTGGTTGAGTGCGTTGAACATTTCATTTGCCTGAGAAATCAGATCGACCCTGTGGCGTAAGTCACTGGTCGACGAAACCTCCGTACAGACACAACAGGTTCGATTGGCTCTCACCAAATTAAATCATCTGTGATACCGACGTCAAATCCATCTCTGCACTAAGGGTCAAGTGTACTGTGCTGCAGTCTACTCTGTCCTACTGTATGGCTGTGAAACATGGTCATTAAAAGTGGAAGACATAAGAAGGCTTCAGGTGTTTGATCATTGCTGCCTTCGTAGCATAGGCCGTGTGTTGCAGTGTCACCACGTCACTGTAGATGTCAAGTGGAGAGTGAAGGAGTGGAAAGTCAGTTGATAAGGTCGTGAAGCTCGATTGACTGAGATGACTGGGACATGGGTTACGTGTGCCTAACTACAGTCTGCCTCGTCACACAATGCTGACCAAAGTAGGTTTAGGCTGGCCAAAGGCTCGGGGAGGCCAGACTAAAACACGGAATTAATGCATGGAGTCTTTGACTATTGGTTTGAACCATGTAGAGAGATGCAAACTAGTCAGCCGGGATCCACGTGACAAGTGACACCAGTGATTAGAAACTCAGATTTATCCACACCTTATCTTTGTCTAAATCGCTATACTGAATTCAACATTTTCTCATTCCTCCTTCCTCTCACTTACTGTTTTTAACCGATTCTCCTCTTCATTCATCTTTTACCTTACTACTTTGTTACTTTTTATGCTGATATGAGGTGTAGCAACTTGGACCGTTACGCAGTAATGCCTAATTGATGGATTGAATGTGAGTATCTGCACTCCATTAGGACTATCCTTCAAAGCCGAAATGCATGATAATAACGAATACTTACAAACCTAACCAGCTACAACACAATGATAGACAGAACAATATAGTATCTAGAGCAAAGTGCACATCAGTTCAAGCTACTGAAACTAAAAACGATGAGAAAGTAGAAAGGAACCAACGAAACCAAGGATATGCGAATCAAGAATGAGAACGCCAATTATAGGAGAAAAATAAGCATGACATTTATGTATATATTGAAACTTCGAGGGTAGAGGAGTATGTATCTAAATGGATCCAAAAATAAATGGTATAAAATCTTGATAAGCTCATATAGAAGACAACCTTTTTCATTTGTAGTTACAGAATTAACAACTAAACAGCCTTCTAAGTTTTATATGGAAGCAATCAATGACGCGTAAAGAGATCTGCTGAAACCACCTTTATATGGGTACAAAAACAGTTTATCCTCATACACCTATCTTGATAAACTTTGTTTCCTTACCAAGATCAACTGTCACTCTTCCTGTTTGTTATCATCCTACTTAATTTTAATTCCCTCCTTGTCTATTTGCTCTTCCATGTATTCTTCGATTTTATATAAATTAAAGAGTTGACAAGTGTTTAAGGGTGGTCAGATTGTTCGAAATATGCATTGCGCAAACACCACACACACACACACACACACACACACACACACACACACACACACACACACACATCAGTTCAGATAAACTTTTTCTACTAATTACACTATGTAAATTCATGAAATAGATAAATTGTTTCGAACTTTAAAAGATGAAAACCCGTCTAGATACAAAATGGCCAGTCAATATAGCTTCTACGCACCTATCAATTACTTACCTGTAATTTTAAATCCATGTAGTTTACAACAAAAGAACGGTATCCAAGCAATTTTTCCACAAAGATGACTTCCGACTTCATCAGTTCCAGGGTATTTTGACACAATTTCTCTGAATTGATCGACTACATTGAAGATAGAAATGGAATTTTACAATTACAGAGCAACAAAACGTTTTAGAAAAAGTTAGAATTAGTCCTCAATCACATCAGAGTGCTCTAAACACATTTTCTTGATATTTTTGATGATTTAGTGCCTGAAGTATAGTACAATTTAAAGGGTCAGCTAAACGAAAAAAGAATCCGCTACTAAGTGACATTAACACCGTGATACCAACCAGTAATCACTTAGTATTCACTCTAATCACTCCAATGTACCTGTGTGAAATTTTATGCAAACCGAAAGTTTCTTTTCTAAATACCTATGCATTTAAGTGAGGTATACTGTTAGTGTATTGAGTAATCTAACAACTACTGAAATAACTAATTAGGTCTCGGTATTTTGACTGGAATGGTAGTTTTTCATTCAATAAAGAACCGTAATTGATCTGAATACTTGTTACAGTGGTCTTGGAAGTTATTCATTTACCGATAACCTGAATGTGTCCACGATTGACGCTTTTCCTAGCTCAGCCTGAATATTGACAATAACCCTAGGGCACAAGGTTCTTCCAAAGCTCGTCAAATAATGGTCAGTGAAAATGACTATTTTATAAATGAATATGAAACATAAATATTTTCTACAAGTTTCCACCCTTCGCATCCCCGCACCTACCACCACCAGAAAGTGTCGATTATCAATAGTTGCACTTACAACTAGTCATCAGAACAGTGTAAAAACTACCCAACCATGAATACTCGATGCTTTAATATCCCTTGTATATTCATTAGATTCAGGAGAATAGAGAGAGAAATATACTTAAAAAGTCCAACTCAATAACTTATAAGCAAATTTGTCTGTCTTACAAATAATCAAATAAATTCATTAAAGTACAAGAGAAAAAATTACAGACATACCAAACATGAATTCAGTTGATTGAGGAGCTTTCTCGATTGGGAAAGATCAGTTGTAATGGGTAAGACAAACGAATCATCGGCTTCCTTAAAATAATATTTTTTAAAATGAAAAGTATAACCAAATTTTTATTTATGACTAAGATTATTTCGAATACTTTTAATCAACTCACTACATTTACATTCTCTATCAAATTGATATGTGGCGTAACTGATAAAATAGATTACCACTGCTACACGAGTGGTGGTTATAAATCTCGAGTACTTTCGTGCAAAGCAACAAAACTCAACCTTTGTCACGTTGTGCAACAGAGGCACACTTTTTAGTGCGTGACACTTGTCATCCTTGTTAACCTGATGGTAGGATTCGCCTCAACCATCAAGTGTCATGGTAAAGTCTGACTGTGAAGAAGTGCAGAGTAAGCATAGCTCATTAATCAAAGCTCACTCAGTTTGTTAGTCTTATTGGAAGCTGTCATGTTAATCGACAACAACTAGTGCTATACACCAGCAACCACTGCTTCTACCACTCTTGTCTAACTTTGTCAAACATGTAAACACAAACATAATCTCACATACCTCCTAAATGACTCCATGAAACCTCACTGACATGAAACTGTCAGACCATGTTCTTCTCGTAAACAAAGACCTATCAAAAATGCGAATGGGGTGATTGTTGCAACAGTGAGATTATAATGGCTCACTAGAGGAAGTAGAAAGCCTCGAGTAAAGCACCCTTCGGGGTTTCATCTATGTCACCGAAACAACCGGAGGACATACATTTGCTATCCCAACGACTGGATATCATAAGTTACTGAAACATAACGGCGAAGCTAAATAAACCATGGTTCACTAGGGACAGAATGACAATTTACTCTTAGTGATTAGCACAAGGTAACAACAATGAAGGTAAATCCAATATCTGAACTAGGAGGAGGGTCAACAAACTATGAGTGTTACCTGTACAATGTCGAGTAGGGTAAGCGGCTAGCATCAGAAATGGAACTAGAGAGTTTACCAGCCAGCAGAGTAAGTGAACTATCAAAACCGACTCGCCTACAGAGCATTTTTACACCCATGTTACTGTGTTCACTTCCAGTCCAACGCATTACTCATAGAGACCCTTATAGCATGCATGATATTGTGTGAAAGACTGAATAGAAGGTGTCATACGATGCTGTGAAACAAAACCGAGGTCTGTTAAATGAGAACGTAGAAGACAACCACCCGACCAAACGGTGAAGCCTTGAGTAGTATGATAGTAGCTGGACTGTTTAAAAACCAATTTGACGAACAGCCCAACACAATAATCTGTCCATCAAGGAAGTCCAATAATGTAACACCATTCCAGGACTGTGATCCAAAGCAGAAGGACATACAGATTTCACCAAACCAAGTGTTTTTGAAAGTATCTACACTCAAGAAAACCTTCACGCTGTGACAATATTAGATCGATGGTCCCAAGAAGTGCTTAGTGTGTTCATATGTAATCTTTCCATGCACTAGCTAGAAGTTAACTCCCTAAAGAATGTCAGCATCCTATCTTATCAGCAATTACAGACCTATAACGTTACAATCCCTACGATTCAAAGTACTGGAAAGCCTGGTTGCAGGTGTTGTTTGAAACTAACTAGAACAGAAACAACATCTATCCTACCCAACACGGTTTCACAATCGGGCGATCATATGCCACAAACCTGATGAGCGCTTGAGATGACCGGACCAGCAGACGGGACAGTAAGCAAGCAGTCCACGTAGATACAAAAAAAGCTTTCGCCGGCTTCCCATATTACACTATGTATGCTAAACTTACAAAAGTGGGAATCACCGGATCACTCAAAGCTTATTTCTCAATATACCTAAAGAACAGAGAATTTCCCACTGTAGTAAGGATTAGATCAGTATCTAGGAGCTTCAGGATGACAGAATCTTCCGGAACGATTCTACAGCCAATAGTATGCTACTATTGAAAAGCAACCTCCTGCAAAACTCCTCATTTATCCTACTATTTACTCATGACATCGAAGTATGGAGGAAAGCGGGTGAGAAATAAGGTCCTAGGATACTCCAAGATGGTCTACTGCAGGTGGAGTCCTGGACAGCTGAAAACAGTTTGAGCTTCAACTTGAAGAAGTGCAAGGTGATGAATCTTCAAACATTAAGTTGATGAAGACTAACTACACTTTCAGTGATTGTGCATTCACGTGGAGGTCCACAGGATTGGACATAGAACTAGGCCTCTCTGAAATACTCGATAGCAGTCCCAACTATAAAAGAATTACGGCAAAGGAGAATGCCACCATCCACATACTTAGATGGCAGTTAGGTTGGTGAAATCTACATTCGACAGCACAGGATTCCAACACGTAGTCTCTGTCTACTGAAGAGATGTAAAGAAGGTTAAAGCCAGTTGTCCAACTGACTGACTGCCAAAAGAAGAAACCCCTAAGATACTTAAGCCTGTTCACCTTAGGCTATCGAAGTTAGAAAGGCGACGTGATAACAGTTTACAGGATTGCACAAATGAACCATCGAGAAGCACAGGATGGTCAGTTAAAACCAAGTCTCGCGGGAACCAGACTCCTATAACCCCGTCAAAAGGCTAACAAGATCTAGATTTAAACTGTTTCTTCACGGTGTGCATTATTCAATGTTCTGCTGAAAGAAATAACCACGAAGCCTTCAATCGACTCTTTTTTTAAATCAATTCCAGATAAGTGTATAAGTATGTACGGCTTACCTCCAGTATGCGCTAATAACAACTGAATGTACAGTTGCCCATTTTCCTGTTGCTTAATCCTAGCATCTGCATTGCGGATCATAATTCTTTCATACTACTACTTGTAACATACTCCTCATTAGTACTTTGGAGTTTTTTTCTATATCAACCCAGTCTTGCATTACATTTGGATTAACATTTAACATAGATACCTGCACAGGAAGGGAGTCCAAAAGATTCAGTGATTCTAATAACAGCCTTGTTGACCTCCTAATCCAAATAAACCAGCCTACAACTTCCACACGAAAATCAGATAAACAATCAAGGCTTCCCAAACTATAACCATATAAACTTATAAGCTGCGGCGAACGCAGGAGTGTGGCCGCACGAAGGGAAGTGAGTCTTGTGACCTAGACGCAAGTTAACAAACTGCGTTTTCTCTCCTCGAACTATTGATGTTGGAAGCAGGAATATAAATCTCATTCCAGCATGAGTTAGGGCCGTGTACTGGTTGTAAGGCTTTGCTGAAATAAAAGAACCCAAACTAACCTGGAAGCCTGCAGAAAATAAGAAGTCCATACATCCTGGAATAACTAAAAGGGTTTCAGTGAAGTCAGTACTGGTCAGAGTGATTCGACGGTGTGATTCGTTTAGTGGGTCCCTTAGAATTCTATGCATTATCTTATGCAAACATTCAAATGCCCGCATTTTTTCGCCATGATTTTCATGAAGCTTTAGCTGGATAAGAGAATAATCCAGTGAGAATTCCTCTAGAACAGTTCGAAGTTTGCTGAGATTGCCACCTAAACTCTGTTTATTATACAGGCGAGACTAACCAACAATTGTTCGAACACATCGTCCATCTTGATAAATTTTGAAAGTTGGTAATGCTGAAATTCCCTCCTGATGAGAAAGTTCTCTGCAGTAGTCCGTATTCACCTTCAAAAAAACAAAACTTTCCGGCTGGTACTCTATAGCAAGAGCTTCAAAATGGGGAGCGATGCGGCGACATGGTCCACACCAGTCCGCATAAAAGTCTACAATTAGAATACTTCCGGACTTAGAGCAGCTTTGCAGAGTTTCCTCAAACTCTAATAGACTACCAACTACACGCATTTGATAACCTTGAGCTTGAGTAAGCCTCCAATATTCAATATCTAATATTGACAGTGTTAGCGTAGAAAACATAGTTTTTGATCTCTTGCGTCTACTTCTTAAGGCTTTGTTTGAGTTGTTCGTTTCACCGCTGTAGTTGAAAATATTTACAGAAATCCGTATGTAACCACCTCTTCAACAATAGTGTCCAGTATCCAATATCCAATATCTTTTTAAGAGCTAGCGTAAACCAATTGGTTTCTTCGTGCTCACTTCTAGGTCTTGCGGAACGGTTCCAGGTCTTTGGTGGATTCCGATGCAGTAGGCCTGCCCACTCGATTGCTGTATCTCTGGTTAGCCTGATGGGTGGTTACACTATTATTTATTATTTGTCCCTTGGGTTCCTAGTGGGACATTGGGCTTCAGTAGCACGTCTCCATTGCCCCCTTTTCTTTGCGGTCTTTTCAACCTGGCTCCACCACTGCCCACAAGCTTTCGTTTCTTCCCCACATGATCTCCATATCAACCTTGGACGCCCAATTCGTCGTTCCCCCTTTGGATTCCACTCAAGGGACTGTCGAGTGATGTCCCCGAATAGCTTCCTCACTGTATGCCCAAACCATCTCCATTGTCTTCTGCTTATTTGTCGGGCGAAAGATTCTCGGTTAGTTCGTTCCTAGAAGTCCGGCCGCCGAGTGTTGGTCAAATTTGTAGGGAGTTGGTGTTATTTATTTTTTAACGACTGTGGTTGAGATGGGTTCCTCAAGTGTCTAGCCAGCAGATATTTTGTCGCACTGGTTGCAAAAAGAGATGAAAAACATGCCCACAGAAATCAAGCGGGGGAAACTGCCCAGAAAACTAAACAACAGAAAAAAGATTACGAAGAAGGAAGTCGTATGGAGTGAGAAACATCGGCAGATTCATGGGAGAGGGCGATGAGGAGAGCTTCTATTAAAGTGTGAGAACGTGAAGTCAGCAGGAAGACAAGAAGAAAATAACATTATAGGACGGCATACGTAAACAAAAATGGTAATTCCGTTGATGTGAGACGGTAAATGGAGGGGACGTCTATAGGAAAGTATAAGGTTGCGCCAAGTTCGTAGTGATAGTGGTGTTACAATGTTACAATGGGTTGGCCATGCTGAGTTAATAGGTCGCGTTGGCCTAGTCCACATCCCAGCTGGATGAATACAAGCCGTGCTTCCCTGCGTAACTGTCCAACCTCTTCTTGAAGCTGCCAACAGATGGAGCAGCAGCAAACTCGGCAGGCAATACGTTCCAGTGGACCCAAACTCGCAGGGAGAAGTGTGAACGCATACGGGATTTTGCTTTTTGATGAGCAATTCTCTTTAGGTTACCACAAGAAGCTCCACAGTGGCCGTTCGGTGGAATTCCACTGTTTGGATGACTTGGGTCGCTTCGTATTTCGTGAGCCGTTATCAAGCCACCACGTAATCTACGGTAGCCTGGAGAGTAGAGTCCTAAATCCTTCAGCCTGTCCTAATATGGTTTTTGCCTCATTCCCACGACACCGTTTGTAGCTCGTCTTTGAACTTTCTCCAGGAGGTTCACGTCTCTTTTCAGATACAGCGGTGCAGTGACGTTGTGGACCTCTAGGTGGGGTCATATGTAGGTCTTATACAGCTTTAAAAACAGTTCTGGGGTCAGGGAACCCAGTTATCTGCGTAGACTGTGAAGGCATCTCCTAGATAATTGCAGCTAGTGTCTGGCATTAGTCCTAGGTCTTTCTCCGTTATAGTCTGGGAAAGTTGTGTTTCACACAGAGAATAGGGTACCTTCTAAGAGTCTGGGGTGCGCAGAAACATGGTTGGGCACTTATCCAGACTAAACGCAAGTCCATTAATATCCACCCACTCTGCAAGTAATCTGAGGTCACTCTTCAGTGCACTTGATTCTCTCTTCGACGTCACAGCTCTCCATAACTTAACGTCATCAGCATAAAGAAGAACTGGAGAGCTGAGATTCAGTGGGAGGTCGTTCACAAAAAGAAGGAATAGCAGCGGACCCAGAATCTCTCCTTTTGATGCACCAGATGATGGTGTCCTCCGAGTCGAGCAAACTCTTTTGACCTTTGTGCAGAATTGTTTGCCGTCTAAATAGTCCTGTAGTCAGGAGAGCACTTGACCCTTGATGCCCAGCCTTGATATCTTGCGAATAGGGATAGTGTACGAGACTGCGTCAAAGGCCTCAGCGAATGGGGAAAATCGCATAAAAGGGAATTTGGAGGTTTCAACATGCCATCCACTTATCATCGGCCGCCAGAATGTTTGAGACGCATGATCTACCCTTTCTGAAACCATGTTGAACATCACCCAGTGCTCCTCTCTCTTCCAAGTACTCTGTGACATGGTCGTTTACCAGGCTCCCCATTACTTTTGACGCCACTGGTAGAGGAGCTATAGGTAGATAGAAGTTTGGGTTCTGCCTGTCTCCTCTTTGAAGATGGGGGACTGAAAAACACTTTTCCACTCTCATAGAAGCATATGATTTCTGAGAAGTTTTGAAACAGGTTACACGGCAGACTGCGCAAGCCACCCGCACATTATTTCAACACAGCCGTCCGAATGTCATCACATCCTGATGATTTCCCTACGAGGACCATAGCAGGAGTTACATTCATTCTACCCTACTGCATTTGGTGGTGCTGAATGCTGCTCGGGAAGTTGGCAGTTTTCGTTAGACGGAGACGCGTTCAGCTGCGTGCCGAAGGCTCCGGCGACCTCTAGCCCTGAGAGGTTCTTTCCATTCAAGTCTTTTGGGATGCAAGCCCTATGACCAGTGAATTTTCCGCCTGCATTAAATCAATATAGGTTTCCGGGGTTCGCCTCGAGCCTCTGGGCAAGGCTCGTCTGGAACGACCTCCTGTCCCCCACTCGCTTTGGTGTTGCGTCAATTTCTTACGGCCATATGCGCGGCGTGGCCAGACTCTTTTCTGAAAGTCCTCCACTTAAGCCATACCTTCCTCTTGGCCTTCAAAAAGCGTTCCCCGCTTCGCATCAGCCTTGGTGTAGCTGTGATCGCCGGGACGCTTTCAGAGATAGCCATCTTGATGATATCTCTGACCAGTTCCCAATGTTTATCAATCGAAAGGTTACTCCACTCCTGAAGCCATGGCGCTGTCAACAGATATTGGTTCATCGTCACAAGGTTTGCCTTGCTGTGGCAAAGACAAGGGGGAGATCCCTCCCACGACAGTCGCCCGTTGAATACCAGGTCAAACACCACCACACTGTGATCGCTGCTGCCAAAGGGGGTTTGAACCTGAACGTTTTCAGCCAGTAGGTTGTCGCTGGTTAGGGGTTGAACCAGTTTGGACGGTTTTCCGCCCGACCCCCAGATAATGTCTTCGCTACTATTCTCATGCAGTCCAGCCTTTCGGATAATGCTGAGTAGGCTTCGGTCGAACCTTCGGCTTGAGGTTCCCCTGTCCTGCCCAAAATTGAGAGTTGGAGAATCAAAGCCGCCGGCTATAATGACTTGGTCATATCCCATGGACGTCGCCCCGGATATTGCTCGTGGTAGTTGCCGGTTATGTTCCGCGTTGCTAGTAGGCGTTCCACAGACGCCCCTTGGTTCGCCCAACCGCAAAGTGGCACCGGGTAGGGTCTTGGGGCCCTAAAAGTTGGGTTTTAGTTGCTGGTTCACTTTTATGATCGTCACTTATGAACATTGCCACTCCACCTCCTTCCTTAAACTCCGTCTCCCCTGAACAGGCGCATACCGTCTATGTTAGTTTCCATGTCACTAATATCCGGTGACGACCGAGTTTCTGTCAGGATTATGATATTTGGGGCAAGGCAGAAACAGAGAGATAGCAATTCCCGCATCTTACTTCTAAGTCCCCTCATATCACTGCAAAGATGCTTGGACATGCTTCTAACAATGTGGGGTGTCCTGGTGGTGGCAGACTGAAGGAGGTCGTGCGCAACGACGAAACTTGCTACAGGAAGGCCAGTTCCAGTGGAACCTGACCGATCACTTTTTTCCCATAGTGGTCTCAGGGGGTTTTGTAAGGTCCAGACCAGTGATGGTGACTTCAGCACCTAGTGGGGCTGTCGTTTGCTGCTGTCGCAGTGTCCTGGGCCTGCTTTTACAGCAACGAACGTCCCTCCTGACGCCGTCTTTTGCTATGTATCAGGTCTGTAGTACATTGGTTAAAGGTTATTGACACCCAAAGTTAGCAGCCATCAACCTGGGTGATGTTAACGTCGTCAAATGTGAAGGACATGGCAGTCTGTAGACCGCCGTCCCCGCCATCCCACTGAACCCTGTCCTCGCTGATAGCGGCTGCCATTGTTGGACGTCGTAAGCATACTCCTCTACTAATGTGTCGGTTGTTAGGGTGTTCCGGTATGCCGTGAACAACTTCGGTTGTTGGTTTAAGCGTGTGAAGTGCCTCGTGAAATACTTTTCGCACTGACCGTGGCCGGTCTGGCCTGGCTCTAATGCTGCATGACTGCCTAATGACTAGTGTATGTGACAGCAACAGGAGTTTTCCGTTTCCTTAGACAAGCTTAGGGTCACTTTCATCGACTGGGACTTTCACCGAGGTGAGTAGTTGCCTTTGTAGGGCCGGAACAGCCTTGCTTCCAAGCTTCACAGTCCTAGTATGGCCCACACCATCTGCCATTGCTGTCTATCAAAAGACTCTGTGTTCTGAAGAAGGCTATCATGGCACACAAGGGCATTAAATAGGATGATGGAATTCGATCTGTCATTAATATCTCTGTTGTCATGTACCTTGGGTGGGTTTTTACGGGACGGGTGCACCTTCTTTTCCACTGTGACCCATTTTTCACAGTGTACAATGGGGGTGCCTGGTAAAGTGACGTCAGAGTTGGGGACTAATGTGGCTGGTCCCGTACCTGGCGGCCGTTCGGGTCTTTCTGGACTATTCGCAGGTGTGACTGTTCAGGGAACGGTGACGATACTCTTGTTGCTTGGACCTGGAGTAGTGGTCGGTGTGATTGGAAAAAGGTTCCAGTTTTTGAACTCCCCCTCTTATGGCTCGTTT